GACATCAACAAAGGGAAGAACGAAATAACAACGTCTGCTCTGTATGTCGTGTAAAACTTAACTACATGAAAAACCCTTTATATCTATATAACATTCTCACGCTAGCTTTAACCAATTAAAAATGACTTCCTCTGATTTCCTTAATCTGGCCTCAAAGGTCAAAATGAGGAAGTCAGGAGAAAATATAATTCTCTAATAAATAATTTTATACTAGACATTAACATTGTTAACAAGTCTGGATTCTTTGTATGGTTCGGGATTTTTTGGGATGTCATATTTTCTTCAAGATGATGGTTTATGTTGCAACATTTTTTTTACAAATGGTTTATTTTTATGCGTGTGGTGATAAGATGGTGATCTCTCCAGCAGAAGATGTGATCTGTCCAGCAGTCATCGACATTAAGGCCCACTTTGATGACAAGGACATCTCATTGGCTTGTTGCCATATGATGGCATAGCTTATCAGAAGCCAGTGTTTGGATTTAGTGATTATCCTTTTGGTTTTGAAATGAGTAGGAAGTCAGAACTGTGTATTTGTGATGAAAAAAAATTATGTCCCATGCATAAAGCTAATAAATCTAATTAATCGATAACATTTTTCCATAGGAAATTACGATTTCCCGCCCTTGCATTGAAATTCCCTCGTAATAATTGTTTGTCCTACAGTTATATATTGACAATAATGTTTCTTAGTTGGATTCTTATCTCCCCTTCATTTTTGACTTTCTAAAAGAATGTATAGCCACAACCAATTTCTACGTGTCTTCCTTCTCCTTAAAGCCGTGTTTCATTCAGGGCTGCGATGCCCACATTGAGTCGAGACAGATCTTTTGATACTAGACCTGAGTTTCTTTCTGGTCTGCCTGTGTCATCAATATCGATTTCTAACTTTTCATGTTCCAAAGATGATATTAATAGTCGTAAGTTTCTTGCCGTTCCGACCGCATGATGGGTGGCCGTCAAGCCCCAGTTTTGCAGCCGTGCACTGGTAATGAGTCCGCATATTCTAGGATGTTAGCAGGAGAGACGATCACACATTCGCCGCCAACTTAGAGGTTTAGGACTAGAAGCTTCCAGTTCGATTCTTATCTCCTCGTCGTCTTTGCCTTTCTGATGTCTAGATCCTGATCCCGTCCTTATGTATAAAAAACATCTAAAGAAGTATCAATAATATCATTGGTCTTATCACTTAACTATTAAAATGGCGAGATGTAACCGTAAGTTCTATGCTAACAGTTTCTTCTAAGATAATGTTAGGCGGTGGAACTCCCTTCCGGCTTGGTGCTATACAGTCTTTTATTATTCTCTCAACTTAATAGCATTTTTCTCAGCCTTTCTAACACTCAGTAACCTCTTGAGTCTTAGCGGCTAATTTCTATTATAACAGCCTTTTTTTTCTCGCTTGTGGAGCTCTATTCTGGTTCCATGCTTTCTACCCAACTTTGATCTTTGAGCATTTAAATGTAATGTCAATCGTTATCATTCTCTTCTTAATTTTAATAAAAAGGGCTTTTATTGTCCGCTCTCCTTAATAGTGTTTTCTTTTTTTTCATATTCTCAATTTGATCTTCTAAAATTTAAGTGCAATGTCAATCGTTATCTTCTGTCTTCTTAATTCTTGTTCTTTTATTGTCCTCTCTCCTTAATAGTGTCTTCTTTTTCTCATATTCTCAATTTCATCTTTAAAAAATGAAATGCAATGTCAATCGTCATTTTCTGTCTTCTTAATTCTTGTTCTTTTATTGTCCTCTTTCCTTAATAGTGTTTTCTTTTTCTAATATTCTCAATTTGATCTTCAAAAATTTAAATGCAATGTCAATCGTTATCTTCTGTCTTCTCAATTGTGGTTCTTTTATTGTCCTCTCTCCTTAATAATGTTTTCTTTTTCTCATATTCTCAATTTGATCTTCAAAAATTGAAATGCAATGTCAATCGTTATCTTCTGTCTTCTTAATTCTTGTCCTTTTATTGTCCTCTCTCCTTAATAATGTTTTCTTTTTCTCATATTCTCAATTTGATCTTCAAAAATTTAAATGCAATGTCAATCGTTATCTTTTGTCTTCTTAATTCTTGTCCTTTTATTGTCCTCTCTCCTTAATAGTGTTTTCTTTTTCTCATATTCTCAATTTGATCTTCAAAAATTTAAATGCAATGTCAATCGTTATCTTCTGTCTTCTTAATTCTTCTTCTTTTATTGTCCTCTCTCCTTAATAGTGTTTTCTTTTTCTCATATTCCCAATTTGATCTTCAAAAATTTAAATGCAATGTCAATCGTTATCTTCTGTCTTCTTAATTCTTGTTCTTTTATTGTCCTCTCTCCTTAATAGTGTTTTGTTTTTCTCATATTCTCAATTTGATCTTCTAAAATTGAAATGCAATGTCAATCGTTATCTTATGTCTTCTTAATTCTTCTTCTTTTCTTGTTCTCACTCCTTGATAATGTTTTCTTTTTCTTTTATTCTTTCAAACTCAGTAACACTTTACGTCTTGGTGGCTTTAT